AAAATTCTATCATGCCATCTGCAGTGTCTTTTTTTTTTTTGGGGGGGGGGGGGTTAGTTAAGGAAATCTGTCCCTCAAAAGGAAAATAACTTTTTTTAGCACTCCTTTCAGATCTAAATTTACAAAGAAATAAGCCTGTTTATGAGAAATGGTCTAGCATTTTCTAAGGCACCTATTGTTAAACAAGTCAGGAACCAAACCTTATGTACTTTTTTTTGGTTTCCCAATACCTTTTTAAAGATGTAATCTGCATACAATAAAATGCACAGATTTTAAATACACAATTTTGGTCAATGTATGCATGTGTGTAGCCCTCACTCCAGTAATCCAATCAAGACGAAGAACATTTGCATTGCTCCAGAAAGTCCCTCCATGCCATTTTCCCATCAATTCCGACCCAGCCCCCACCCCCAGAGTTTTCATTTCTACCCCAACATACGTCTTTCTCAAGCCAAACAATGCTGGAAGACAGCTATCAGTATTTCCATTTTGTGAATCAGGATACCACAGCCCAGAGAGATTCAGCCACTTATTTGAAGTCACGAGGTGCACTGGTGATGAAGCAAGTGGGCAAGTCCTGGCTGGCCTGGAGCCCAAGATTTTATCAATGCTCATGCCTGGTACATTGAAAGCTATGACATATAAATTGAGAATGGAGACCCCCTGCTTCTTTAAAAAATACCAAAAAGCTCTGAAAGAAGATGGGAGGCACTGTGTGGTGTGGCTAAGGGCTTGAGTATAAGCCCCTACCCTGCCACTTACGGAAGGGGCCCTGGTAGTGCAGCGGTTAACTGCTCGGCTGCTAAGCAACAGGTTAGCGGTTCGAAGCCACCAGCTGCTCCATGGGACAAAGATATGGCAGTCCACTTCCATAAAGCTTACAGCCTTGGAAACCCTACTCTGTCCTATAGGCTCGCTATGAGTTGCAATCTACTCAATAGCAGTGGGTTTGGTTTGATTTCTACCACTTGAGACTTGAGTCATCTTTCTGAGCTGAGTCTGGCTAAGAGCTTGAGTTTACGCCTCCACCCTGCCACTTACTAGGTGTGCAGCCTTGGTGAGTCACCTTTCTGAGTCAAGTTCAGTCTATCAAATGATGCCACAGAAAGCACTCAGCACGACCCCTGGCTCAGAGTAAATGTGAACTCATTGTGATTATTTGAGAATGCTCTCAGTCTCCAATTTATCGTCTCCTCTTTGGAGACAATTTCCAGCTCTACTGAAATCAGGCTGAATTAATGAGAGATAAAGGCAGAAACCATCCTGGTCTAGCTTCAGACACGGGAACAGGCAAAGCAAGTTCTGCAGTTCCTGGAGCTCACCCCCTCCAAAGGGCAGTCAGCCTCAATACTAAGGGAGGCCCTTGGAGAAAAAATTCTGGCTGTGTTCATGAGCCAGAGTTACAGTGAACTAAGAACAAAAGACAGTAGACAATAAACCTGTTACAGTAAACCTCTCTACAGAGCACTGCCCCAGCCATTCCTGCTGGGATCCTGCTTTTTTACTTGTTTTCAAAGGTTTGATTTCATTACTAACGGGTGGGCAGGACAGAGAACTGGTTACAGAAACAAGAGTGGTAATTGATATGTGAGGTATTAGTTACCAATTCTGTTCAATCAGAGAAGTGTTTTACTGCATTAGATGGATGAGGCAAGGCTTCTCTCTTTCCCATCTTCCCTGAATATACTGTTGCGGATTCTGAACACTGGCTTTCCACTTGGATGCACATAGGAATCACCCGTGGAGCTTAAAAAGTACTGATGCCTGGGTCCTACATGTGGACATTCTGATGTAATTGGTCTGGGGGTGTGGTCTGGACAACAGAATTTTTATTACATTTGCCAGTAGATTCTAATGTGCAACCAAGATTTTGACCCACTGTTCTAAAAGGGGATGCCTGGTGGCGCAGTGGTTAAGCGTTTGGCTGCTAACCAAAAGGCTGGCAGTTCGAATCCACCAGCCGCTCCTTGGAAACCCTGTGGGGCAGTTCTACTCTGTCCTATAAAGTCATGAGTCGGAACTGACTCAAAGGCAACGGGCTTTGTTTGGTTGGGTTCTACAAGGATCTACACCCCTCAATTAGGCTGTAAGTAATTCCATGGTCTTGGAAAAGCTCCCCAACCTCTTGCTCTATCAGCCCAGTGAATTCCTGAACGACACACAAAAACAAACCAAGGCACTGAAACACAAGCAAGCCCCACTTCACTGCTTCAGAGCCCCAGGCAGGAAGCAACTACATGCACGCTTAAAAAATAAAGATCAGCTGAACGGGGGAAATAGTGGACTTGAAAACTACAATAGGGAAAAAAGGCTTCAAACCTCTAACTCTCTGATGTTTTCTACACAACTCACTGTAGAACTGTTTCCTTGGAGGGGAGAGAGGCGGTTGTCCATGGAAGAAAAACTAGACCCATTGTCCGGCAAACTGGACTGCAAGCCCAGTTCCACTACTTCCTGTGTGGTGTTCAGACAAGTGATTTAACTTGTAAAACGGGAGTTTGAGAGCCATGATCTTCCTAATCACCCTCAGGGAGTAGAATGTTAAAGTACTCAGGCACCCAGGTCCTAGGGCAGCTCTGGTCCTCAAACTTTCCCGGAGACTAGTGGTTCTCAACCCTGGCTGTGCATTAGAATCACCTGGGCGCTTTAAAAATACTGATGTCTGTGCTTCACCCCAGACCAACCGAATCAAATGCAGGTGGGAAAAACTATTCAGGTAATTCTAATGTGCGACCAGGGCTGAGGGCCAGCGAGCTAAGAAGATATTTCTTTAACTAACTTGGTTTAAGAATCACTGGGGATACACGGTAAAAACATCAACTTAGCTGACTTTTACAGCAGGGAAGTTTAAGAAACACTGCCTGAAGGTAATTTTAAAACTTCCCCAAACTGAGGGTATTTCCACAACTTTGAAAAGGCAGCTGTTCCATTTCAACCAAACTAATAATTGAATCAGCTACATAACTGCATTATTTTGCACTTGAAACTTGCTTTTAAGACAGCTTCCAAGTGTTTCCGAGTGTTCTGCCAAATGACATTCTCTTCCTGTGTGTAGCCCACAAACTGTCGGCCTGTTTTTCACAAGAGTCTAGGGAAGAAGACATTATCAATCCCACTTTTCAGGTGAGAAACTAAGAATCAGAATCCTAAGGACCCTCTGACTCCAATTCTCAGACCCCTTTCATTATACATCCCAAATCAAGAAATCATTATTCTAATGCCCTGGAGGGCTTGATAAAACAGATCACTGGCCCCACTCCCAGAGTGTCTGATACAGTAGTCTGGGGTGAGGCCTGAAAATGTGCATTTCTAACAAGTTCCCAGAGAATGCTGATGCTGCTGGTCTGGAGACCACACTTCAAGAACCACTAGTTTAGGCCTCCTCCTTCTTCTCAAAAAAAAAAAAAAGTTGCCATCAAGTTGATTCCAACTCTTGGTGACCTCATGTGTGCAGAGTAGAACTGCACTTCACAGGCTTTCCATGGCCTTTCTTTCAATGCGCCTATAGGGTGGGTTTGAACCAACAACATTTAGCTGAGTAGTTAAGCACTTAAAAGACTGCAAGGGATGGGGGGAGCTTATTTACAAAAAATGGAGAGGATCAAAATCGGATACAGATTGACTCATTTTTCTTCAGCAGTGCTCTTGGGTCTGATTTTCCCTAAAGGACAGCACTTCCAGAGTAGAGACATGGGGCAAACAAGAGGCTCTGGGCTCATCTTTGGTCATTCCCATCCAGGGACAAAGAGCTATTCAAGGAAGAGAAACCTGAAGAATCTCAAGCAAACAGAAACCTTCCTACAGTTGACAGCAGATAAGACACCCCGCGGTTCCTTAGGTGTGGTCACCTTGGGCCTCAACGGAAGTGACTAGATACTCAGGCGCCAGCTGAGGCGCTCGGCTCCGAGGCAAAGGAACCCTGACTTCAGGCCCCTGGCATCCCTCCCCGGGATTCCAAGCACTTAACGTACACCCCCTTGCCGACTCCCTCTAGTTATTCCCTCGACTCCACTCGCCAGTCTATTCAACCTCACCTGGGAGCCCCATACCCGCTTCCCGAAACCCAACGACTCCGGCCACAATATCCCAAAATCCCCAACTCTCTGCCCCAAGGAATCCCACTTGACCCCTTCATAACCTGACCATTCTCCTCCACAACCCCAAAATCCTCATTTTCTACCCTCGAAAGGTCTCTCTTCGATGACATCTCTTTGTTCTCACAACCACTAATTCTCATCTCCAACGAGCACTCAGGACTCAGAGACCCTCCTCACCCACACATATCCAACTCCTCAAACCCAAAAGTCCATTCCCGAATCCGCAACAGTCAACGACCCCCCCGCCCCCGGCCAATTCTCCACCCAAAGCCCTTCCCCCACCTCCAGCCTCGCCCCCCTCCCAATCCCCCAACAGCCTCTCCCCTACCGCGACCGCCCCTTATCGCGCTCCCCCAGTCCCTTTTCCCTCTACTTTGCCGCTGCCTGCCTCACTCGGCCGCCCAGAGCTCGCCGTCAGCGGGCACCTCCCTCCTCACCATGAAAAGCCGGAGGACGCCGGAGTCTCCAAACCCGGTCTGAGGGAGGCAGAAGACACCCAGCTCGCGCGAGCCGGCGGCGGAGGCGGGGCCGGGGCGGGCCCTTCCGCTGCCCGCAAACCACTTCCGCTTCTCTAAGGGCACCTTCCTAAGGCATCCGTTGTGCCCCTGGACAGAGGCCGAGTTTCTTCTCACCTCCCCCGCCTGAATGAATTCCGCCTCTCAGCTGGATCAGGAATTGGTCAAGCTCCTGAATGCTCCACTTTTTCAGGAGCATTTTTGGCAAGAGACGAGGATGAGGTGCGGCGAGGTTTTCCTTTCTGAGTGCAGAGGCTATGCGGAACGCTCGTCTCCCGGAACTGGATACTTGCTTCCTGGCGGAGCGCTGAGCGCGAACACCCCGGGGCAAGATGGCGGCCGGGCCTCGGCAGCTGTCCCGGGCTTGGCAGAGGTTGGGGGAGTCGGGCTGAGACGGCGGCATCGGCGGCCCCAGCCCCGATTGCGGGTGCCCCGAGTGGGTAAAGTCGACGACCGACAAGTCGCAAGTGGGATCAGTGTCGCAAGTGCTCTAGGAGGTGAGGCCGGGGACCTTGATGGGGTGGCCTCGGGTCCGGGTCCCGGCCTCGCCAGGTCGGAGGGGCAGGAATTCGGGGTGACTTTCGCGTTTCAGGAGGGTCTCTCCGCGGCCCTTTCCACCTCTTTTCATCGCCGTTGCGATAGTTCTTTTAAAAGGGCTAATGCTGGGCTTTTATTGTGGTTGTTGATGTTCAGGAAAGACTCCGGGCCTCAAGTCACCCAAACAAAAGTTCGAATTCTGTTCACTTGCTGTGTGACCTTGGCAGAGTTCCCTCGCTTCTCTGAGTCTCAGTTTCTGCCTCTGTGAGATGGTGTAATAGCCTGTTTCATAGAGGGTTCCTGTATAATACGCTTTAGTACCGGTGCCTAGTACACGCCGCTCAATAAAGACAGCTGACGTTGATGGTACCTGTAAAGGAAATCCTGGAATTGATCATAATTTGACTAGTTTTACCCCACAAGCAGCCTTGTATTCTTAACTTGTCTTTGCTTTGCTATTCTGTGAGTCAGGGAGTCTCTGGGTCTTGTCTGTTTCACTTACGACTAAATAAATAAGTGCTTCTGAGTCAGAGTGCGTCCAAATTCAAGAGCTTAGCGACCTCAGGCAAGTCATGTCCCTTCTTTGCATGTGAAGGTGGTGTTGATAATAGCACCCACCTAGATAGACTTGTGGAGCCCTGGTGGCACAGTGGTTAAGAGATCGGCTGCTAACCAAAGGTCAGCAGTTCGAATCCACCAGCCGCTCCTTGGAAAACCTATGGGGCACTTCTACTCTGTCCTATAGGGTCGCTATGAGTCGGAATGGACCCAATGGCAACGGATTTGGGTTTTTGGGTAGATACACTGTAGCCTTTAATAAGAGGGAGCTATTAAGAGACAATTGAGCATGGCCCCTGAACTCTGTTGACCCAGAGCTGAAACCATTCCCAAGACCAACTCTTCAAACAAAGATTAGACTGGACTACGGGACATAAAGTGATACTCATGAGGAGTGTGCTTCTTAGCTTAAGTAGATACATGAGACTAAACAGGCAGCTCCTGTCCAGAGGCGAGATGAGACCTCAGAGGGTCAGGAGCTGGTTGAATGGACACGGGAAATCCAGGGTAGAAAGGAGGAGTGTGCTGTCACAGTAGAGGGAGAGCAACTTGGGTCACATAGCAATGTGTGTATAAATTTTTGTATGAGAAACTGACTTGAATTGTAAATTTCCACTTAAAGCATAGTAAAAAAAAAGAGAGAGTTAATTAAGACCTGATAACCAGACCAAACCAAACCCATTGCCTTCAAATCGATTCTCACTCATAGTGAGCCTATACCACCGAGTCGCGCTGACAGAGGAGAACTGCCCTGTAGGGTTTCCAAGGCTGTAATCTTTTACAGAAGCCAACTGCCACATCTTTCTCCTGCAGAAGGCTGGTGGACTCCAACTGCTGACCTTGCGGTTAGCAGCCGAGTGCTTTAACCACTGCACCACCAGGGCTCCTGAGACCTGATAGAGCTATTGAAAAGACAGGATTTGTTAAACATCCGTAGTGTCTGATACATGGTTGGCCCTTAACAAATGTTGGTGGTCATTAAACCTGGCTGGTCAGCTGTTCCCACCGTACGTGGAGGCTCTTCTTGGGCTCAGTTAGTAGTTAGCATTTATGGCACTTCATCTTTGGACCGTGCTCTCTGGACTGTCATGCTCTTTCATAGCTGGCTTCTTTTCTGTGTATCCACAATGATTTGGACCCAGAAAAGACTAATGTGGGGAAAGTCTCACGGGAATATAGAGATAGAAGTCTGAGTCCTGTCCAGGAAGATAGCTATTAAATAAATAAATGCTTTCGAGTCAGAGTGGGTCCCAATTCAAGACCTTGGCAACTTCAGGCAAATCATGTCGCCTCTCTGCATGTGAAGGTGGTGTCAATGATACCACCCACTAGATAGACTATGGCTCTGCCACTTACTAATGGTCTAGCCTGGACTGTGGGAAATAATAAGTGATCTTCTCTCAGGGTTGCTGTTCTTATTAGATGAAATCATTTAGGGCTTGACATGTAGTGGGTACTCGGTCAACCTAGTTTCTTCCTGCTTTCCAAATGATCTTGGTTACCACCAACCTCTTGTTTTCTAATCATCTCACCTGTATAAGTTTGTTTCTCCAACTTACCTTTATCTTAAGGACAATACAGTAAAGATCATTTACATGCTATATGCTTTCAGATTCCCCTAATTAATATGTCACTTATAATCATAATCACAGTGCTGTGATGACTAAATTCAGGTATAAGAAGATAAAAATTCCATTGCATCCTTTTAGCAACCCTATTGTTGTGTGCCATCAAGTTGATTCCAACTCATAGCGACCCCATGTGACAGAATAGAACCGCCGTATAGGGTTTTCTTGCATGTGATCTTTATGGAAGCAGATTGCCAGGTCTTTCTCTGTGGAGCCACTGGGTAGGTTCCAACCACCGACATTTTGGCTAGCATCCAAGTGCTTAACCATTTGTGCCACCGGGGCTCTTTTAGCAACCCTCTGAGGTAGGTATTATTATTTTCAATTTAAACATAAGGAAACTGAGGCCTAAAGAGGATAAGTACCTTGGCAAAATAAGAGGTTGAATCAGAACTAAAAAGCATCAAGCCTCTTTTCTCTGATCCGGGGCTTTTTCTGCTACATTTAGCCTTTTCTTTCATTCTCCAGGGCAGTTAACAGAGGAAGTACTTGATCGTGTGTTTTGTTTGATTGCTGAGCTGTAGTAGACACTATGTGGCTAGAGGAGGTGAATAAAAATTTTAAAAACTGCAAAGCTGGACTGTTATATGATGTGAAGAGAAACAAACATATAGTGTTGCCAAGGGAATGATTATATTAAGGAACAGATCTTATCCTGGGAGGCCAGCTGGGAGAAGTGAAAGTTTTGAAATGGTCTTAAAGGCACTTAGGTGCAGTTTGCATGCAGCCTTCTTTTTTTCCATTGGGAAGAGGCTCCCTCTTGCCCTTCTACTCCCTACCTTCCCCTCTCTCTCCTCCCCTGGAGGGACTGTCTGTATGGAAAGGAAAGAACATACCATTGTGCTCAATGGCTTGGAGCTTCTGCCCAATCTAAACATCAGGGCAAGTAACAGCACTGGTAAATCTTAGTGTACCCAGGGATAGGAAGAAATTTAATGAGTGAGGAATGGTAAATGTTCTAGCATTAGTTCCTTCACAAAGAACCTTAACATCTGTGTAGATGGGAGCGTTTGCTGAGAGTTAAAAAAACAAAAAACGAAAAAATTCGTGACTATAAAAATAACGAACAAGTCTGTCTTGGAAGAAGTACAGCCGGAATGCTCCTTAGAAGCAAGAATGGCGAGACTTCGTCTCACGTATTTTGGACACGTTATCAGGAGGGACCAATCCCTGAGAAGGACATCGTGCTTGGTAAAGTAGAGGGCCATCGAAAAAGAGGAAGACCCTCAACAAGATGGATTGACACAGTGGCTGCAACAAGGGGCTCAAACATGATGATTATGAGGACGGTGCGGGACCAAGC